GGGGGGGGGGCAATTACGTATAAGCATAGTTTTAACATGCTAGGATAAAGTTTGTTAGATTTATGAAAAAGCTTAGCGCTGTAAGTTTGCTTTTAATCAGTCTTAGAAGCATAGGTGGATCTCCCCGATGGGTCTTCCCCTCCGCTTCCCAGCCCAGCGGCACAGGCAGCAATGGTACAAAAGTCTGGGTCTAAAGCTAAAACTTAAGATTGGGAGCCTCACTCCTCCCTTCCCCAGGAGGTCATCCTGGATCCGTTTATGCTTAGAAAGAGAGAAAATTATTGAGTCTTATCAGCTAAGCAGTTACTTTTGGCATATGTTTACCACCCAGGGTAGTTCCAGTTGTCTCCATCTTTCATCGAATGAATACGAAGAGAGTTTTGACGCGTTTAGACAGGAACTTACAAAAATGGATTTTTGATTAGGCTATGCGTTTTTTGATTAGCCGTTGTTTTGTCGTAATGCGCTTGGCATCACCAAAGCAGTTCCATGATTGTTGTAGTTGGTTGAAGCTGCAGCCCTTTATAGTTAACTTATTGATGGTAATCCAAGTTTCTTTTCCCTACTTTTTTTTCCGAAAAATCGGTATGCAAAATAAGGAATCGCATAAGTTGATTTGAAATAAGTTGACAGCTTTCCTGGTGTATCACGTTCTTTTCGCTAATTCTTTCATTCATTATATTTTTTTCTTCCTTAAATTTACACAGATTCTGTTCATAAATTTTTTTTTTTCCTTTTAGCGGAAAGCCTAAATGACTGGATATACAACGAACGTTGGCCACTGATACCACTTATCACGTCAACAAATATCAAAGAAGTTGGTCGAATGCGAATGCTTGTTTTGGCTGTTGTGAATATGATTGATAGGAGAAACGGAACGACACAAATTGGAAAGTTAGTTTGTTCAATCCCGCGATCATTATTGGCAATGAGAACTATGTCATCTTGTGGAATGCAAATGACGCTCTTCTTTTCCCGCACTCTTCTGCATTGATTTTTAAGCTATCAGTTGTTTTAGTTAGAGATTCAGTTCATTTCCTCTGACAATTAAAGGACTTTTTAAGCCTATCACTAATTTATACTACTCCGTTTATCTGTCCTATTTTTCATGCTTTTTCTCCTCCCCGTTCTGATTTTATACTGCCACGTGGAATGTTTGAAAGTTAACTGCTTTTTGATATGCGTTAAAGCTTCGTCACTGTTTCATTACGGATCAAAAGAAATACGAATGGACGTATACACAGCCATACACATCCACGTTTGCGTGCGTGTTTGTATGTGTGCGTATTTGTATATGCCTTTGTGTGTGCGGGCATTTTAAGGACAGAATTATGTTGATATTAGCATGCATGCGTGCTAATATCAATAAAATTCCGACCTAAAAATGCGCTTGGATGTCCGTCGTGATTACTGTGCTAGAATCAGTCTCCATGGTCCGATCCTGATGCAACAATATTTAATTTTTGAAAGAATGCACTCAGAAAAGTGTTATTATCCACCAACAGGCGTGTTTCCGCTTTTTACGGAAGGTAAAATGGGGGAAGAAAATTTGGCACAGGCTGGCTGTTGATCAAAAATAGAATATTTGTGATTTTAGTTGGGGAGATTTTCAAGAGCGATTGTGAATGGGGCAAAAGGAGAGGTGGCTGAGGTTGAAATTGAGGCATTGTTTCGTATTTGTTGAATTACACGATTAATTTCGAAGTATTTTTTCTTATTTGTTTTTTCTTTTTCAGATTTTTTTCGGTGGTCACAGATGCTGCTCAAACAGTACGCAAAGATACATATTTGTCGTCATATTTTCAGTTTGGCTGGTTAGATGGCAGTGAAATTGCCAATAATATTGCGATGGGAACAATAAATCAACCAGGTATGTATTTACTGTTGAAATCTATTTTACAAAAACCAAAAATATTCATATTTCTAGCAATCATATTACTCCTTAGAAATATGAATCACTGCTATTTTTGGT